CATGGTGAGCGGGGCGCGGGGAGGCGGTTAAACGGCTGCGCCGGGCGCAAGATGGAGCCCGCCGCGCGGCGGGAACGTGCCCCGGCGGCGCCGTCTCGCAGCGGCCGCGAGCGGCTCCGCGCCGTGCGGGGCTGGCGCTGGCGGCGGCCGGGAGGCGTCGAGCGCCCGGGCTTTGTTGCTGCTGCGCCGTCATCCGGCGTTAATATTTTATAGCCGACCGCCTTGGAGCGCGGAGCCTCCAAAGCGGCGGAACAAACCGCCCGTGACCTTGGTAGGGCGGCGCGGGCATTGCCGGCCCAGGGTGCCCGGCTCGCGGTGCCTCCCCGCTCGCTGTCACGGAGCCTCCTGCCCCGTCCCGGCTCCCGAGGGCTCCGTCCTCTCCCGGGACACGCGCTCCGAGCCCCTTCCGCTAGCTCGTCCTTCGGGAGCCACTGGAGCATCACCCGCATGCGGGCGGCTTTGTGTCCCTGCTGCAGAGCTGTCCGGTTACACCCAGAATTAAACTTTTTATTTTAATTTTTGGTTTTTTTTTTCTCAGAACATTTTCAAACACGTTCTGTGAAACCCCAGCTGAGCTGTTAGAGCTGCTGCCTGAGGAGCTGAAGCCTGGAATAGAAACAGAGCCTAGGGGACCTTGGAGCTAGGGCTTTATTCGGATCATAAATACTCATTTCACCTTGATTTATAGCCTCAGCAGGCCAGTGACCCCCCCGCTGCACCGCGGCACTTGAATAGATGCTTAATTATTTGTCACTTGGAGAGATTCGAGTCTGGTTTAATAAAAACCCTGAGGAGCTGTTGTGCGGTTCCGCGTATTGCAGTGATCCCGCGCGTGTAAACGCTGCTGCTCGGCACATTCTGGCAGTGCTCGTGTGCCCCAGCGCTGCCGCCTGCATCGTGCCGTGTCCAGCGTGCTCTGCTCGAGGAGCAGAGGAATTTTTCTTTTTTAACCAATTCAGAAGCAATCCCGTAGACAAGGCCAGTCAGCAGCTGACTTTTGTATAGCTTTGTGGCTCCCACTGGCGCGGGTGACGTTACTACAAACGAGTAATAATCTAATCCCATTGAAGGTGCCGCTGCCATGCGGGCGCCCGGGTGCAGGGTGATGCCGAGCGCGAGGCGCCTGTGCCGGCTCTGCGGAGCGCGAGGTGGGCTCCTGCACTGCAGAAGGGCCCTACAGCTGCACTTACACACCCGAATTGTAACTAACCACCTGTACTCTCAAATATATCAAGTATATCAGACCTTTTCAAATCAAGAAATTCATCACAGAATGCTATATTTAGTATTTGGCTGGAGAATTTCATGTTTAACAATGTTTTTTCAGTGTTTTCCTCTCAAGTTCTGCAATACTTCAGGGTGGGGTGTTTTTTTTTTTTGCACGTTGGTTTCTTGTGGATGTCAGCTTTTTTGTTTGTTTCTTTGTTTTCTCCACTAATAATATCTCAAAGGAGTAAAACCATTGGATTTAGGGACAAGGTTCACCTTGTCTGTTGAAGCAGTAAGATGGGTTAATATTTGACTGTGTTAATTTGTAAGAAAAAAGAAAAAAAAAAATAGCCAGAACAGCCTCCTAAAAGAAATTGGGAGAAGGAGGATCACCCCTTGGTTTTGTGTCGCTAAGGGTAAGGACTAAACCCCGTGGTTAGTGGTGCAGCTCTCAGGCTAGACCCCGTCAGCTGCTTTCGAGGAGTTGGTATAAGCAGGGCAGTTGAACTTTTATTATATTTTTTGTATTTCTTTCCTGGATGTATTTTTTTCTGTTTAAGACCTTTGACAGCGTGAGCCTTTTCTCCTTCCAATAGAAAAAGGCAAGTACTATTCAGCAGTTCAGATATGCCTCTTCTCAGTTCTTTAGCTTATTTGCAAACTGGCATCAAACTTGTATGATGAGGCCTAAGCATTAACTGGTATTAACAAGCTTGACTTTCCAAATTTATGACAGCATTTCCCGTCACAGAGATGCAGGCGTCGTAGATTTGTTTGCTGAGTCTGTGCCCAGTTAATAAAGCAGGAAAATGATTCCTCTGTGTCCCAAGAGCTTCTCATAGCTGCAGCTGCTGCCCCAGCGAACGGGCTTGAACTCGAAAGGAATTGGGCTGTGCAGCCTGAAAACACAGCACTGTCCCAGCACTGACTTTATATGGTTTGGCCATGGCCTTTGTTTGTATCTAGCTGGTGTTTTGAGTACCAAATGGTCACTCTAGGGATTCACGCTTCGGCACAGGACAGAGCTGTGTGTTTGTTCTACCCCATTAGGTTGTGTTCTGTATATTTTCCTCTGTAAGAATGTTTGAAGCAGAAACAAAAGTATTATGCTTTGCCCTCAAATTTAAATCTTCATCATAGAGCAATTTAAGGAGGAAAGATCTGGGAGGGTCCAACAGCTCCCTCGGAGCAAGGTCTGTCGAGATCAGCTCTGGGGGACCCTGTGCACTTGAGCTTTGAACGCCTGCAGGGCTGGAGATGTCCCCTCATCTCCAGCAGGTTGTCACAGAGACCTGGTGTCCGTCTGTTCCCCTGGTGCCACGTTACCCTTGTAGCCGTTTGTGTCCATCGCTATCCTGTTTTCTCGCCTCAAGAAGAGGTGGTCTCAGGCTCTGCTGTCCTGTTGCTGCTCTCTACAGCTACCCCAGCTCCCTCCGAAACCTTCTTCTCTCGCATCCGCGCGAGGTTTTCACAGCCGCTCTTTGTACCCCGTGTGCCCCAGTGCCTGTCGTCTTGGTGGCTCTTGCTCCAGAGTGCTTGTGGCTGTATTATGAACCTCATATTCTGTCTAACCATGATTTAACCTTTATTTGCCTTCCTTGAACTTCGTTGCATCTACAGCAGCCTGAGTAGGAGAAATCTTACAATGAGATTTCAGGATGAGGCCTGTGGTAATTTCTGGCTTCAATTACAAAAGCACCTAAAAGAAAAATATTTAAAAAGGGTCTTATATTCTACCTCAGATCATGTCTTTTGTCTCAAAGCTTGTTCTTAGCAGTGTGTTATGAGAAACATGCTTCCAGCCAGAGGAATTTTAGCTATTTCTACAAATTGAGTTAGTGTGAAAAACAACCTAAGCCTGGTGTTCTCCACTGATGTAAATGCCCTGTCTTTTTCTTGAATAGGAATATGAAGAAAAAACTGGACGAGCTCACAGGCCACTTTCTCCCAAGCAGAATGTGAGGAAGAATCTTGATTTTGAACCACTTTCCACGACAGCACTTATTTTAGAGGACAGGCCAGCGTAAGTTGTGGGAAGTACCCCAATGGCGAGTAACCCCTAAACTTTGGCTAGCAAGCCCTTTCTTAATGTGTCCATTTGATCACTGAAACTTTATTAAACAAGTGACTTTTTGTCTGACTACTGAATATGCGAGTGAGATGATTATGAAGATAATTATTTTTAGAAGTAATTTTATAATAAAAGCAATGACTGTATACGAAAGGAGGTAATTACGAGGTAAAGTTGTGACTAAATCTAGTTTCCAAACATGAGTGATTCTGAGTGATTTTTATGTCACCTGAGAGGACACAGAGATAAAAATGAAGCTGGAATATGCTGAAGAGATTGAGAAGCAAGGATACTGCTGTATGCCTGCACAAAGAAAGGGCAAGCCTCCATAAATAATGAAACAATGTGATGATTGTTCTGCAGCGGGTTCAGCATCCCCTTGCGAAGGCTGTCGAGCACTTGATGAGGTGTTTCATTCCCCTGTCACTGCGAGCAGGTTTTTGCATAAACAGGCCAACCCCAGAAAGACTCATGGGCTGCTCTACCGTGATTTGCTCCTGAGTTTAACAAATTCAGTCACGTTAAAGCAATTTATGAATGGTATCCAGTTTTATAGGCATGGACGCTGTCTTTTAATATAGCCGTGTGTTGCTATGAAAAGCTGGCATAATGTAGGTGTGTGTTTTCACTGCAGAATCTGTATGAAGAATGCTCACATCAAGCTGATCTGGTTGCAGGGTCATTTAAGATACTTTTTCATGGACTGATAAAAAATATGTAACAAGATTTCCTGGAATATATTGAACAGCAAAGGAGTGGTTATTCATTAGAGCAGTTGTTTGTGTACAACTGGAAACTGTGCTTGCATAGATTGAATTAAAGATATACTGCAGGATAATGTTTTTTTTTCTAGTATTGATGGACTAAGGAACTCACTCTAGCAAAAACTGGATATTTAAAGATTGTAGATTGATTATTTCTTTTGTCTAGTTGTTTCTTTTGTCTTTTGAAACTGCTCTGAAGAGTGCTGTCATCAAATGAATGTCTCTAGAAGATTTTTTTTTAATTATTTAAGTTTGCATAGTTGTTTTTTTTCTTATGATTTAAGAAATTTCTTCCATTACCAGAAATATTTAAGACTTAAAAAGATAAAAATAGAGATGTGTCTAAAATAGCTGCTCAAGATTTTTCCACCCACTTTTTGAGCTTAGATGAAACTTTCTAGAAAAATAAAATCTTTAGCTGTTCTGCCTTTAACAGGAAAAGGTGTTAATTGATTCTTAATAGTTATTTAATGTCATCTCAAGTATATGATGATATCATTAAGAGATAGCACAAATAATTTAAGTAGCGGAACTAAACAAAACTTGAAAAGTTTTCTCTCGTTTTTCCATTCCAAGCTTCCCACATGCCATTTATGACACTTCTGAGGACTCTGGTTTTACAAAGAGAAGGAGCTGGTTAATTTACATAAATAAAACTGAGAGAGTGGATTATTCTCTATGAGGACATTAATATGAAAAAAGCAGTGTCCTCCTCCTTGCAACAGCTTTGTTTTTTAAAAATGCTGATAGGCAGATATCGCAGGGCTCTCAGTGCTTTGCAGTTAGTATAGTTGTGCAAATAGTAAAGCATATGCTAGTATGATAACTGTGCTGACAGCAACTGCCTCATGAGGCTTCGCAGGAACGTGCAAGTGAAATTTGGCATCTTTTTCATTAACCAAAGATGTACAGCATCTTAGAAATACAAGACAACAAAGAATAACTACTTGATTGCCTCCTGTTCTGCTGCTTTGATTCTCCTGCAGTTGTGGAGATCCTGTGTATGAGCAGGTGTGTTGGCATGGGAGAGATGTGGCCAGCCCAGGCTTTGCTCCCAAATCCCAGAACGAAACGGCTCTGGTGGGCCTGGCAAATGGAGGCAAGCTCCAGAGCCGCCTGCTGCGGTGCGGGTGAGGGGAAGGAGTCAAGGCCTCTCAAGCAGGAATGGGGTCTCACAGAGCAGGAAAGGGAAGTTGGCACCGTGAGTCACTGCTGCCTCAGTAAAGGCAGTCGTGGGTGTAACTGCACGCGGAGTGCTCAGCGAGAGAAGATAAGCTCTGTGTTCTTAGCTGTAGACAACCCAAATCAAAGCTACCAACTTGCTTGGTACCACTCTATTATTCCATTTATTTACAAAGTTTAGTCTGTGGGTTCAGTTGGTTTCATTAATATAAAAATGCTGAAATTACCAAACAAAAGGAAATTACTCAGCATATTCTGGGTATAAAAGTAGGCATAGATGGTCAGGGCTCTTTCCTTCTCTTCTGCTGACACTGGCGAAAAAATCTTTCCAAGAATCTGTTGCACCACGCTTTGATCAGATATTTGGACAAGAAGCAATATTATGCTTTTCTCTTAGAAGAGTCTAGAGTTTTCTTGAGAGAAGCATGCCAAACTAAATACTGTTTTTTTTTTAATTTAAGGAACCTCCCTGCAAAACCAGCAGAAGAAGCTCAGAAACATAGACAACAGTATGAAGAAATGGTGGTTCAAGCAAAAAAAAGAGGTGATGGAATTTCTTGCCTTCAGAGGAGGGAAGTGAAGGGAAGGAGTATTGCGAAGCCTGGCCTGTGCTTGTCAGCTTGTTGTCCTGTTGTGCGAGGGGTCAGACCGTCCCTCACAGGGTTAGTCCTGGGAAGAGAGTAGGACAAAGATAGTTTTATTTAATAAGGGAAAAGGCCCCACACCTTATTTATGCACTTACTTATTGGTATCTCTTAGAATAAATTGAGTGACATCTGTCTGTGTGGTTAGAAGCTTGCTGATACCTGTAATATGAGTGGGTATGAGTTCCAATTAGTTCAGACTTCTTTTTTTTTTGGATAACTGCAAGATATTTGATAGTTTTATTTCAGAAACAGTCTCCCGAGGCTGTAATTCCAGGGAGGAAAACATATGTAATTGTATTTATATGATAATCTGTCTCCTGTTTACAATTTGCATCTTTCCCAAGGCTTTGCTAGTGATCTGTTGTCTGACATGATTCCCAGAACTGTCTCAGTAACACCGCTGTGCATATCAGGTGGAGCTGGCAGTTCTTGGTGGTTCCTTCTACAGATGTTTTCGACCATCTGGATTTTCTGATGAAAACAGAAATTCCTAATAATAGGAAATTTGGACTCATGAAAGTTTTGTGTCCAGTGAGACTTCCGGAAATAAATGTTTTCCAGCTGGCCAGACCCCTGAGCCATATGAGGTGGTGAAAAGGTGATGTGAACAGAGGACTTGCTGAGTTCCTTTAGTTGATGATTCAAGTATTTTATTGTGGTTTTGAACATAATGTGCCTACTAGTAAAGTTTATCATCGCCCCCCTTCATGCGATTCCCTTATCAGGGCATCCGCATAGTGGGCAGCAGTCCAAAGAGACCCTTCCTTTGCCTGGAAGAGGGAAGGCTGAAGAGAAACGGAATGATGCTCAGGTCAGGCAGCGGCCAGGGCTGCGTTCTGACGTTGTTGTGTGGCAGTATGTCATTCGCTCTGGATAAATGTTCTGACAAACCCATTCCCCTAAAGCCGCTCCAGATGAGCTGCTGCGCAGAGCGCTGTGTTGTGCGGAGAGCAGCAGAGCAGCGGGTGGGAAGGCTGCTTTTGTTTGGAGCAAAATGCAAAGCGCACGTAGAGGCGGCTTGCAGGGCGCCGGGGTCACAGCTGACAAATGCTGGAGAACAGCTGGTGGCACCCTGCTCCCCACAGCTTCTGTGGAGCTTTGAAGAGGAGCCATCAGGTTGTGTCATTCCAGAGCCTCCCTCACAGCCCTGCTGCCCTGCTAGCCATTTTTAGTCTGTTTGTGATCTGTCCGTGTTGCAGAGCCTGGGTCCATTATTCACTCTCTAAGGAGGGGCTGCCTGTGTTTGCTCCATGGGCTAGCAGCAGGTCTGGCCAACCTGCCGTGGAGAGCGTGGTGGAGGATGTGAGAGGGCATGCAGAAAGATAATGCAAAGACATAAAAGTTGTTCAGACTTACCATGCACGAGCAAGGATAGGATTTTATTCTTGGGGAACTAAAAGTTTGCAGTATGTGTATTCTTGATGCATGGCATATTAAAAATATGCTAAGTGTAGCATCCAAGCCATGATTCTTGTCACTTATTGACAGTAAACCTAAATCATAATGTAAAAAGAGCAAACACATTTTTATCATTTTAGTCCATAGTTTTGAGATGCCCATGAAAAGGCAGAGGACTTCTAGGGAGCACTGTCACCTGCTCTGCAAGGTCACTGGTTTGTTCTGTATTGGTGGTCACTAATTGAAAGTTGCTACTGCTGTGGTTAGATTCAACGTGTCAAAGGAGCCACATATTATTCGCCCCTCTTTCGTCCTGTCCCATCCAAAATAGCATAATGCAAAGTGCTCCTTGGTTCTTTATTCACACTTGGCATCACTGTTGAGCTTACTGTGTGTTATTTAAACGTCTGGAAAAGTTTGAGAATTTGCCCAGGCCACTGCAAAGGTAGGTGTATATAATGTGATTTTTTACATAGCTACGTAGTCATGAATAGCTAGCTCTGAATTGCTTAATTTCTGGTTTTATCAACTTAAAGGAATTTTTTTTTGCAGAGCTTAAAGAAGCCCAGAAGAGAAAGAAACAACTGGAAGAACGCTGTAAACTGGAAGACAGCATTGGCAATGCTGTTCTAACTTGGAACAATGAAATCTTGCCCAACTGGGAAACTATGTAAGACAGTATGTTATACTGAGTTTTAATTGCAGAGTCTGTATCCCAAAGAAAAGTTACAAAGTTAGCAAGTGTTTTTTTTGAGGGAAACTCTTTGACTGAAAGTCAACTTTAGACACTGTAAAAGAAATTAGGTCCTTGCAGAAAGAAGTTAATGCTGCTCTGAGCAGTGCAGTTCTAATTCTTCTTGCTTGTCTTTAATGGAAGTTAAAAAACCTAAAAGAAAAACAAACAAACAAAAAAAAACCCCAGGAAATATAATACTGGAACACCATACACTTACCAGAAATCAGATTTCTTGGCTGCTTGAGCTGTTGATTAGATAATACTGGATGTATATGGAAATATGTGCCAGGTATTATTAAGCCTCTTAAATTAGCATGGTGTGTACCTGCTGGGATAATCAAGTGATGGAAAATAAAAGTAGAAAAAGAGATAATAAGGAAAAAAAAAACTTTCTGAAAGGTTTTTCTGCAAAGACATAACCTGGGTGTTGTATCAGGAAGCACATTATCTATTCATTATCTATTTTTTTATGGACTTTACTAATAATCTTAAAGAAAACAAAGTCTCCCGAAATATGAAGCAAATCCACCACAAAAAACAATTGTCAGCACTCAAAACTACAATTTGCTTAATGATGGAATTCAGTTTCTTTACAGTATGTGTTAGAAATGTGGATATGTTTTGTTGGAAAATACATATCTGGGAAACTGAAACAGTATAAAAGTAAACAAATTGTAGTTCTGTGTGTCTGCTTTTAGTATTTGAAGATGAATCTATTATGTCTGTTATATAAATAGGCATTTTTTTCCTGTATCAGTTTACAAATTCCGAAGCTCCCCACTGTATTCTGTATGCCATGGTTTACATTTTTAGTTCAGAATCTGCTTTTAGATAGATAGCTGTGTGTCACTGCCCCGAGCTTTCCTTGGTTGTCAGGTGCTATTTGCCTGTTCCTTTGGGACCCAAAGGTTGATAAACACCAACGTTAAGCTTTTCTGAGATCTGTGTTGTATTGAAATGCCTTTCATATTCTCACCTGGAAATAGTTACTAATCTTGCAGCTTCATGCACTTTGCTTGAGGTTAGAGCTGCAAGCTGGGAGGGAAACTGCACATCTCACCTGTGCAGTGTGTTGGATGAGGGGTGGAAACAGACTTGATTCAGTATTTAATTTGAAATGGAGAATTGAGTCTGTCCAGCCTTCAGCTCATGCAGCAGCGTAGACGTGGATCTCTCGTTCCACTTGTTTGTGTCTCCCACTGTTCTTTCTGATCATGCATGGTGGCAACTTAGAGTTGCTTCTGTGTGTGACACCTGCAGCCGTTACCTTTGGAGAGAAGGCAGCTCTGCTTTACCCCTAAAAGCAAAACAGCACCAAGGAAGGGTATATGGAAGAAGCCCTCCTGGAGCTGTCGGCGCACGGGCTGCGGCTGAGCCTGCCCCGCTGCAGCAGCAGGAGGGAAGGTGGCCGTGGGTGATGTCTGAGCGGCGCGTGTGCTGTCGCGCAGGTGCTGCTCGCGCCGGGTGCGGGAGCTGTGGTGGCAAGGCATCCCGCCGAGCGTGCGGGGCAGGGTCTGGAGCCTGGCGATCGGCAACGAGCTCAACATCACGCACGGTGAGGCGGCTTCCCGCGCGCTGCCCGAGCTGCCGGCAGCCGGGCAAAAAGCCTGTGTTTATTACACTGTTGCACAGCCTGGGGGGACTGGGAGGAGAGGGTATCTGGCTTCCTTTGTGGTGTTCTGGGGTTTTGTTCAAAAATATTGAATATCTTTTAATCTTGTAGCTGTTCTAGGACGGCTCCTGTATGTTGTTAATGATTCTTTATGTCTTGCTTTCGTGTTAAATGAATGAATTAATTAACAGAATTAATTAATTTACTTGAGAAATAACATTTATTTTTCTTGCTTAGAATTGTTGTTAGTTTTGTAATGCCCATGGGTATGTACATATTATGCTTTTCTTTATTTTAAACAAGATACTTGTTTTGTGAGAGGCTAAAAGACCCCTGGGAAAACTTGTCCGTTTGCTTAAAGCAAGGCTTACAGTAAGCCTTGCTGGCACACAGAAATAGTGTGCCACCTCAGACTACAGAAAAATGTGTCCATGAAAGACAACTGTGATATGTAAATAATTTTAAAGTAGAAATTGAATAGATTAACTGTCCAGCTGCTGTATTGTGCTGCTTTTCCAGGCTTGGTTACTGTAGGTGTAGTTTTTGCACAGAATGCAATAAACTTAGCCCAGTTGTCCATTCAGAAAACAATTCTGAGTGCATGTGTTATATAAGAGAAATAAATGCATGAGCATGCTGTGTAGCATGTGCCTTTCCTTTGCACTCCATCTGAAGTTATAGTTCAGTGGAACAAGTGTTTCACAATCCAAACTTTTTTAGGTTCAGCTGATATTTTAGAGAAACTGTTGCTTGTAATGAGTGGAGCAGCCTTGTTAGTATGGCAGGTAACTAGTAACTGGTGATGGGCACGTGCATGAGATGGACTTGGCTTTTCTCTCTTTTCTTTTTCCAGAGCTCTATGAGATCTGCCTGGCTCGTGCCAAAGAGAAATGGCGATCGCTTAGCACAGGAGGGGCCGAAGTGGAGTGTGAAGGTAGGCTGCTGCTGAAAGGCTTAGCCTGACCTGCAAAACAGGAGGTTTTGTGAAACCTTTCGCTAAAAAAAAAGTGTTACTTTGTATTTTTTGAAACATTTTGAAAGAGTTCAATAAAAAGAAAACTTTCTCGGAAGTGAGAAGAAAAACTGTCATTTTACTTCATAGTGTAACTACAGTCTCTTGTACAGCATACTGGTGTTTTTTTCTTGTGTGTTACTAGCTCTCTGTGTGGTTCTTAATGTTTGTAGGAAGAACAGGAAAGTTTGGGAGATTTGTAACACTAATGTATTTTCTTCTCCTGCTGTCTGTAATTCTGGAATTAAAACTCAAATCTTAGCAGTAAATTGCAGCTCAGTGTGTCTGTGCAGCATTGAGTCCATCTCTGTAGTGTGTCTCATTCAGCATCAGGTTTTTGTTGCAGACTCAGCTGTTCATTATGATTCTGTTTGATTGGAAGAGATGTCCCTCAGAGTATAACACTGTATGTTTTATATATATATATATATATATATATATATATATATATATATATATATATATATGCTTGAATTTGCCTATGGTAAATGATGATGCTTAGCAGAAAAAGAGGAATATATACACTGGCACTCATCAATAAAGAAAACCAGTTTTGATTGGAGAACCAGTACTTCATTTTCTTAAGATTCTTTGTATCTTAAATAATTGACAGTTTCTGGTATGTTTTTAGCTTCTTCTTGCACTTACTTTTCTGGAGCGAACATCCTTATGAGAGTGGTGTAAGCATCTGCTCATGACAGCTCTTGCCTCATTACTTAGACAAGTAGCATTAGGTGGTTCTATACCATACAAATAAGGATGGACAAAATAGAAATCAAATTTTAGGATTTTGGAACAAAAACTAGTGCTTCAGAAATATATTTTTATGAGAATAATTTCTGTTAGTTACAGAGAATGTGTCTGCAGTGACCGTAATCTTTAACAGTAAATAGTAAATGTGATGATACAGTGATGATATAGTGATGATATTTTAAAGGAAAGTGTCAGTAGTGTAGGGATAGGCAAAGTCCATCACAGGGTTCTAGTTTAGACCTTCTTCCCCTGATGAGAGCCTTTCCCCACAGGCTGCTAGTTGAGGAGCCACTGAGAAGCCTTGTTGTGAGTAAGGGGTACCACTTTACAGGCTTGTTGGTGTCTGCTGATGGTCAATGATGCCCAAGAAGTGCCTGGCCCTGCCTCACTTTTCCCTTTTCTCTTTCCCTCTTACTGCATAATCTATATGCAGTGTGCTTATACATACAGTTTTTCATTTTTAAATTAATGTTTGATCCATGATTAATGTTTGATTAATGTTTAATTAAATGCAGTAACTTTTGGCTTTTGTAGATGCTGGGTTTTCTGCAGCTGACAGAGAAGCAAGTTTGGAGTTGATAAAACTGGATATCTCAAGAACATTTCCTAATCTCTGTATTTTCCAGCAGGTAAACATTGTTAACTTTTACTCTAACTTCTTAGCAAAATTAGGTTTACGTTATCTTTCTGTCCCTTGGTTGAAAGAGCCTGTTGAGTTCAAATCTGAAGAAGACTTCTTGAGAAAGTTCCTGAAAATTTGGGTACAGGGCAGTGTTTCCAAGTCCATGAAACAACCTGCTGAGGTGTGAGCACTAAGTGAAAGGGACCGCGGCCCAAGCGAGCTCTGCTGGCCTCCTTTTGGTTCCATGCAAGACCAATGTGGCTTGTGTAGCTTTGTGCTTTAATGATGTGCTCATTTTAATCAAACGTTTTGTCCTTCTGTGCCTAGATTTCAGCATGCCTATAAAATGTTAGATTGTGTTGAGCCAGCATTTCTAGGTGACAAGCTTTACCCTTTGGATGTCCTCAGCCAGTTGTAGTTGCCAATATAAGATAAAGCATCTTTGAAGAGTCAATAATGTGAATTCTTTTTATTTATAGGTATGCTTGAGATGGTGGGTGTATGTTGGCATTTTTTTAAACAATTTTCTTCATGAATGATTTTTTCCTCCAGTCCAGTAGATTCTCTTAATAGATTTTCATTAGTGTTCTGCTTTCATGCTGTTATTGTCAAAATGCCACTAAGCTGTAATGAATCTCTTATGCCTGCATCCCTCTTATATCTGAATTTAATATGCAGCAGCTTTGTTGAATGAGCTGCGTGGGTCTGTAGTAAATGTGGTATGGGTTGTTGTTTCATGCTTTTAGCTAAAGATTATTTTGAGAGTTGGAGGTGTTGAAAGCTCTGTAATAACAGATTTTTCATCATAAGTAGTAGCACCGAAGTTTTTTGTGTTATACTCAGATGTGTTGTCCTGTTTGTGTTCAATTACAGGGTGGTCCTTACCATGACATGCTGCACAGTATTTTAGGGGCCTATACTTGTTACAGACCTGATGTGGGCTACGTAAGTCAAGAGTTTTCTTCTGAGGGTAGGAGGGGAGAAAAAGGGTACAGAAGATTGTGTTAGGCTGTCCCTCATAGACAGTATAAGATGATTTTGATACTTGTGGGTTTTTCTGTAGGCTTTCTTCTATCCCAGTACATGCTTGAGAGCTGCATCTAATTATATGTAATAATGATTCTGTTGCTAGATTTAAGCTTTTTATTAGGTTAAGATTTTGGACAACTCCAAAGGATCTATTTTTCTKCCTGCAAATTGGAATTGAAGATGTTGCTGCAGTGCTCCCCTGAAGCACGCACTGTTCTTAAGGACAGTCTTATTTACAAGACGGTTCCGTGGAACGGAGGGTCTCCCTTTGGTTGGCTTGGCTGGGCCGCAGCAGCCGGGGCTTCCGCAACGTTCCGTGACGTAGCGGCTGTTCGGGCCCCTCAGAGSGGTGCTGGGAAAGGGCTTGAGCCAGTTCCAGTTACTTTAAATCATTTTTTTTTTTACCAGAGCGGGCCTGTACACAGCAATATGACCAATCTTTAGGAAAATATAAGATTACTTATAAATAAGTTGTTCTTCAAAAAAAAAAAAAAAAAAAACCCTCTATATTCTGCCTGTTTGAAAGTGCTGTCATCCTGGCCTTTCCTGGGAGTTTTGGGCCTTTGTCTCCTGAGTTCACATGCAGGAACTGCTCAACCACGTTCTGAGCATTCAGTGCTCAGTGATCGCATGGCTGAAATCCCAATTTTCTGAAAGACTCACAAAATTTGGCAGCTCCAGTGAGTGCACCGAACAGCAGGGACTGCGAAGGCAGAACGAGGCAGCGTTCCTGGAGGAGTTTCCTTCTTGCTGAATGGTGACACCGCTTCTTTCTGCAGGTGCAGGGCATGTCGTTCATCGCAGCGGTGTTGATCTTGAACTTRGATACTGCAGATGCCTTCATTGCTTTTTCTAACCTTTTAAACAAGCCCTGTCAGATGGCGTTTTTCCGTGTGGACCATGGCCTTGTAAGTATGCAAGAACACTGCAATTTATATACTGCACATCTGGGCAGTTTACAGTTAAAAAATTTAATGGCCTCAGTAACCTGGAAATTAAATGAGAAATCATTTTAAAACACTACACTTAATTRATTTATGCATGCACATGCACAGACACCCCTGATACCAAACACACCAGCCTTTTTGAAGAAGTGGGTGATTGAAATTGTTTTATGATGCTCAGAGAATAGTTACAGTGTAGTTACAGTAGTTGTTGCAGRAGTTACAATAGTTGCAGTAGTTGTCTTTAAATTGGAGAACTTGAGCACTCTAGTTGGAAGCTTTATTTAAACAGCTTAATAGTTTTTAGGGAAAGAAAAAAAAAAGTGATCTGAAGGTGGTTTTTATCCAAAAGTATTAGGTTGCTAAAGATGGAGTGTTACAGGAAGAATCAGGTTTCTCAGCTCTTGCAGGAGGAGCTGTGTTTTAAAGGAGCCAGGGGGAATAAGATGAGCTGAACTCCTCACATTTCAGTGGGAGCTGGGTACTTGATTTTCCCTAGATTCTCCTAAGTGCGGGGTAGTCACTGGACTACTCATACACCATAGAAAAATAAGCAATCTCCTGCAATGTATTTTAATTTTTAAAGTTTTTTCTTGTCTTAAAATATATTATTCTCTGCTTTTTCTCTTATGCTCACCTTATAGCAGTAGGAAAATAGGAACTGTTTCCCAAGAGTTCAAGTGGGGGAAATAAAGTAGGGCAGTAGATCATGTGAGCTGTGATTACTCATGTTGCGTAAAGAGTAGGGTGCTAAGGATCCTATGAGCATTTCCTGTGGGAAAGCCAGTAGGTAGCCCTTCTGCAGGCCTWGAATCCATCAAATTCCATAAATTCTGATGGGGAATACAGCAGCTCAGGCAGCACTGAAAAATTGAAAAGAAAAAAAAAAGCATCTTGTGTTTAAAAAACTGCTGATCTGCTGGGTACCCTYATCTTTTTGTGAAAATTTTACAAGTTAAAATCATGTACTGATTTCTCTTAAGGCCAAGGAAATAATGGAGGTAAAAAGAGTAGAAAATGTAAAAACAATGTAAGATTTGCTGAAATGGTAGTAATATATACCARTTTCTCTTGATTGCTTTTTATTAGCCACAGTATTACCGAAGAAGAAAAGATATATTTGCTACTAAATAAATGCCTTATTGAATGTTGATCAAGGTAAATACCAGAACTGCCATTGTATTTTTAACATGCACTGCTTTCAGTAGGGGTGGCAGTAGCAGTTATGTGTCAAGTTCCTTCTCCAAAGTAATTTCAAAAGCTATAGTAGAAGTCACTTACTGTGACATTAGCATCCAAACATTTATATCATTTGGAAAGTGGGATTGTTGCATTATCTGCTTCCTTTATCCTCCYGGATCTCATATGATGCTGGATTTCATGTATTTAAAAACATGAATTGAGAAGTTGTGTGGTTCTTAGGTTTCTGGGTTTGTTTGCTATGAAGCTGTTTCTCTAAATCTCTAAGAGAGTTCAGAAATTTTGCAGAGCTATATCTCTAGCAGGTACCCATCTGATTGGCTTGTAAGTCTCCTATTCTTATTGACTATTTCTCTCTTTAATTATTTTTTACTTACAGTTACTTATGAAAATAGTCCATCACTTGTAACTTCATTTAGGTGAAACAGGACAACGTCCTTGACGGACATAGGAAAAGGCCAAGGAAACACGTGTGTTGTCTATTAAAAAAGCTTCATATACATCTTCATTGTCCTCTTCCTAACTCCTCTCCTGTTACTGTCCTGGAGTCTTGAGGAGGAGCATGTTGATCATGTCGATAAAACTCACGTGTGGGGAAACCACAACCATTCTTTATTGTTTTAATTGATTTAATTTAATTACAATTGCTTACTCATTCAAGGACTGTGAATTTTCCTTCCTGTAAGGATGATTGGGGGCAGAGGCAAGCCAAAATGTCTTTTGCTATTAGCTTTTGAAAACATCCTTTTTTTTCCCTACCTTCTTTTATAGAATTTGGCCTAAATACTCAAATTTTAAAACAGCTTGAAGATCCTCGTGTTAAAAGTAGTCTRCTTCAGGGATTAGAGTATCAAGTTSGGGTCAGAATGTGTTTCCGTGTTGCTCTTGTCTTTCTCAATAGAATGAGTATTATCCCCTTGTCAGAATTCTTGTGCAATAGAAACTCCATCATTTGAATATGATTTATGATCAGTTAACTAAGTAACAACTCAGCACTTCACTTTTCCAGTGGACTGTTATTTGCACTTCAGATTTCGTTTTATAATCCCTGGAGCCTTGCATTTTATTCAGCCTRGTATTAGGTTATTGCCACAAACATAAAGCACCACTTTATCAGAATTAGCTTGAATAATCAGCCAATAACTTCTTTCCTTCTGATACTTTTCTTTCCAAAATGAGATGGTGAAGATCCAAAAGAATTATTCTATTGCTCAGTATGCGAAGGATGTATAGACTGTCTCTTAAACACTTGTGTGCATGCAGATACTTTCCTTTAYGTAGATGTTTAGCTCTCCATTGCATTGTGCAATTCACACGATCCTATTATTGAAAAACATTAATCCAACAACAAATGGTATTTTAAGCCTATTAATAATACAGCTGACTGCTTTTTCCTATTATATTTTCCCAGATGTTGACTTATTTTGCCGCCTTTGAGGTATTCTTTGAAGAAAATCTGCCAAAGTTATTCGCTCACTTCAAAAAGAATAACCTAACTCCAGACATCTATCTTATTGACTGGTAAGACTTTCAAGTATAATTACAATGCATATGCTGCTTGTAACACAATGCTCATATTCGTGACACACGTTGGAGTGCTCTGAGCTGTTCTAGCGTTCTTTTAAAATAAATGCTTTATCTTCTGTTCAGTAATTGTGTTCTTACGTCAATCCAAATCATCCCTACAGTGATACTTCTCTTTAACTTTGCTTAACATGGAATTTATAGCTAACTCTAAAATGAAGCTATATAGCAATTTATTCCRTATTTACTGCATATTTGGACTGATCTTCTGAAAAAAAAAAGGTATTTTTATCTTCTACTGCTAGCTCCTAGTATAGGTGTGTGCCAAAACATGTGTCCAGACAATAATGCTGGACTTYGGCAGGATGAGTTGAGACTTTTGGCCAGTGTCTTACTCATGTGTAACACAGCCTCAGTTCCTTTATAGAGGATCCCAATACAGGCTTTATATAAACTGTTTTGGCATGGCCCATTCCAGTATCAAAAAGCTGCTGGGTAGTTTTGAATACCTGTGTCCGATCGGTTTTAACTTCTTGAACTGATGAAACTGCCTTTTTAGAACATGTTAGGAGCAGTCCCCAGCCCGTAGTAGCGCACAGGGTTGCTAGACCTCAATGCAGGGCTTCCCCTTTCCCCTTKGTTGCAATTCACAACTTCCTTGGGGCGCTTCTTCCAGCCTGCCCTGTCCTTGGCAGGGGGTCAGCAGCAGCCCCTTCTCCTCAGGGTCTTTGCTAAGCTGCTGCACTCGCCCCTATCCCGGCCACAGGGAGGACAGTGACCCGCGCTGGCCCCGCGCGGGCTCCCGCAGCTCGGCTCTGTGCTGTGTGTCACTGCCCGCTGAGCAGCCCAGCTCGCCAGTGTGAAGCCATCTCACCCTTCTAAGGCAGACTTCAGCCCTTGGTCCGTGAGGGTGCTGTGGGAGGCAGTGTCAGAAGTGTAAATCACCTTAATTAAAATGGAGGGGAACAATCCATCACTCTCCATTCATGCATCAAGCAAGTTGTCTCCTTGTAGGAAGCTGTTGGGTTGGTAAGGAAAGATTTCCCCTTCAGAAATCCGTAACTGCTCTCGGTGTCCTTCATGTATTGTTTGAATTAGTGCATTTACTGTAGTACAACTATCACTCAGTGAAAAAATCTAGAAAGATACAGGTGAGGATTCACCATTTTTAAAGTTAGCGAGGGAAACTGCCCACTGTTACCTGTGCAGCTTTGCTCTGTGCGTTCCGGTGGCAGGGGACATCCCCGAGGGGCGGCCCTGCTCCCTCCAGCACCGTTGCTGTGACTCCAAGCGCTGCTTTGCCGGGTGCTCCGGCAGCTCAAACAGCAGCTGTTCAGGGAACCTGTCCCTGTGCACAGGCCAGCAGCTGGAAACCCTCCTGCTCCTGCTGCTGTTACAGGTGCATTAACTAATCTGCCTTGTGCTGCTCCGTGCAACGTGGGTGCCGCAGGGAACGACGATCAAGTTGTGCTGGCAGCATTTGCAGGAGAGACGTTCCAGGAAAAAGGAAAGCTCTGCGTGTGGATGGGTCCAAACATTGGCAACTGTTTGCTGGCGTTTCTTGAGGTTTGGTAGAGGCTCTGGAAAGTGGAGCGGGGTTCTGCTCCTGTGACAGGCAGACTTGCAGGGATTTGAGCATTTTGTTAGAAGGTAACAGTGCAGGGATCTCTGGCGACTCTGCCTCGTGTAAGGCCCCTCTTAGAAAGTATTTGCTTCAGGCCAGCATTCCAACTGCTAACTCTCACAGTAGAAAAACAAAAACTAGACAGGTTTCGACTTTTGGGGGGGAAAATAAGAAAATCAGGCACGAGGCAGCTGAAGAGAGCAGCGTGCTGCAGTCTGGTTGCAGAGCAGGAAAGGGGAACAGTTGCCAGAAGAGCCTGTTCTTGGCCACCCCAAGCAGAATCCTGTGCAGAAGCAGACTCAGCAATCCGCCCACTGAGTTACCACAAGCTCTTTAGAGGAGAGCAAAGTGTGGATTTGCAAAGGACACATGCTGTTATTTATGGCCTGCTGCTGCTATACAAATATCTCTTTATCTCCCTACTCAGAAAAAAATGGTTTTGGCACTAACCATAGCTAAGTCTTTGTCTGCACTGATGGATTTGTCGGTGGTTCTTTCATACTGCATCGCGTGGGGGGACGCTCCTCTGTACGCCCGGACTTTCTGTGGGCCCCGTGCTCTTGTTAGGGTGGATCTGCAGCCTCTGGGTGCACGTGGGTGCCTGYAGTGGGCCCTTCTGTGGAAGTGGTGCCAGTCTTGCTGTGTATTGCAGTAGGGAAAACATAGTCTATGACTTGCAGGAACCCGTACGCTCAGCAGAACTTAATATTTTGAATGAATGCCTCCCTCTTGAGGGAAAAATTAAGCCAGAACCTGGACTGTAATTCTGTTCAGGAGATTTTGGTGACATTATCCTTTTTTGAATCTGAGTTGTTACTGGCCTTTCTTGACAAAATTAGGGTTATCAGCCCAGTTTACAATGCGCTSGTCCTCATGTAGCTATAGGTTATGATGGAGTCAGTTGAAGTACTGTATTACTGTGTACTGCTCCTAGGTGAGAACGAGGCTTGCTGGCTATTTTTCATGAAAGAAATACAATATTTGTATTGGTGGTTTTTCAGAATGCGGTCAGAGTTTTAATGAGTAACTAAGAAGCTGTTCTGTTGCGGTCATTATTATAAAATCATGTGTACATTTTTCTTTTCCCTCCACTTTCTCTTAACTGTAATGAGCTGGCTGAAATTGTTCTAAGAAAATGGTTACCAAAAAGCTTATTYGAATAACATTAAAGATGCTGATGGGAAAAAAACGTCACTACACAGGGAGGTAAGACACGAGCACCTAAAGCTGCAGTGTCTTCCCCAGCACTGGACATCTCTGTGCTAGATAACTATTTGTTTTCTCCATAACCTGGGACTTCAGGGGAGTTACAAGAGGTGTAGATAGAAGTTTGTCCTGCAGGTGAGTTCAAGGGCAAAGCAGATCCCAGGCAAGTGATGTGTTAGGCCTGCTAAGCTCTGGTTGTCCTAGTCTAGCAGCTGGTTTATTACTTGTAAGAGCTTTCAGCTGGGTTCAGTGTTGTAGCTCACATGTGTAATAAAAATATCTCTCAGGAGGGAATATTTTCAAGGAGCTTGTGCCATATCCCTTCCTGCCACTCCTGATTTTTACTGTTTCTTTCCTATTCTGGGAGTCAAATCTCATTCTTGGGGCTTGATGCATTTAATTCCTCACTAATATCGATGGAATTTAATTGCCCTGCAGATTGCTTGCAGGTTGCTCCTCCTCGCAAATTATGAGATCAATTTGAAGTGGCAGTTTTTGTTGGGAATAAATCCCTTCCTGGAAAGAAGAGCAGAGCTCTAATAAATACTGTGAATATTTCCTCTGATAGTTCATTTCTGTCTAGTTGCAGATTTAATACATGTGGCTTATTGAGGTTAGGTCTGAATCATCACAGCAGAGTAGTTTTTGTGAATAAAAAAGAGAGGAAAAAAATAGGTGCTGATAATAATCTTTAACCAGGAATTGTCTATAGCTGAGTGTTTCCCTGTTACCTGATGACCAGGAAAGGACTTAATTGAATTGCTTCCTATTACATTGTTCTGTTGAAATACAGCAACTATTGCTGTTTCCTCTGTGTGAGTGTGTGTGTGTAGTCAACACGTCTCAATTCTGCTAAGTGTTCTCTAACAAGGTGTTTTAATATGGAATGTGGCTGTACAAAAAGTTGAAAGTGTAACAAGATGGTCCCTAAAAATGCAGAAGAAGGGGCTTGCTGTTCTTATTTTGAATGTATAAAACACTTGGGCATTCTATACTCTGCTCTGTATTTGCTTATTGTTTATTATATAACTTTCTTTAGAACAGAAGTTTTCATGATTTCTACTTCTAAAAAAATACTGTTATCAGATATCAGTRTAGGGGGAAAAAAAGCAGAAGTTCCTAAACCTGCAGTTTTCTTGTGCAAATGGTTTGTGACTTAGGATTTGTAAAATAAAGATGCTATTTTTCTCATATTTTGAAGTATGCTGATTTATTAGAAAGATGGATACATGATGATACATTATTCAAATAATCTTATAAACAGCAGATACTGCATGAAACCTTTGGTTGTTAGAATTTGATGTGAAAATACAATATAGAACATGGAGTGGTGAATATATATATATATATATATATATATGAATACATAAAAATATGTTGATGTCCTACTGTAGCTTTTTGTTAACCCTTGTTTCCTAACTAAGGAGGGTTGCGACTAGGAGGAACCAAGGGAAGACAAATGCTCCACAGGAGAGAGATACTGCTGTGTTCCACATGCCTTAAAACACGGTTGTGTTGAAGTTGCAAGAAGGTCTGAGTGATGTTGGAGGCTTTGCTGACCTCTGCTGGAGCGAGGGGGGCTTGCTGCTCTGCAGAGCGCCAGGAAATACTTCCCTGCACATTGTACCTGTGTCTTTAAAGTCTGAAGAGAGAATTTGCTGTAACTGCTTTTCCTACTGTGCTAGAACGTGATTCCAGTAATTCCTCCCTCCACTTGCTGTTAGGATGTGGGGGCAATGAACCCATATTTCTGTGTGCATTCCTGATCTTTTTTTTTTTTAATGCAATAACTGAAGCTCTTACTCTTTTTCAGGATATTCACACTGTACAGCAAGTCTTTGCCACTAGACTTGGCATGTCGTGTCTGGGATGTGTTCTGCCGTGACGGGGAAGAGTTCTTATTCCGCACAGCCTTGGGAATATTAAAACTTTTTGAAGATATTTTGACCAAAATGGACTTCATTCACATAGCCCAGTTTCTAACAAAGCTACCRGAAGATTTGCCTTCAGAGGAATTCTTCACATCTATTGCTGCCATTCAGATGCAAAGTAGAAACAAAAAATGGGCTCAGGTAAACAAATCTTTGTTACAGGGATGGTTGTAGGTACCCATGCCAATGCAATGCCAATGCAATGGCAACATCTGGAAGAGTGTGTTAGCAGAGCCAGGTGTGACTGCGGTTGGGGAGGACTGTGTAGCTTGTGCTGTGCTTTCAGTACGCGCTCAGGTGCGAGGTTGCCTGGGCTTTCCTTCCCTGGAAAGGAGAGCTCAGTCACTGTTCCCCAATGGAAGTGCAGGGAGGAGCTGAGCAAGTGTCATACGATACTTGATCAAGTATCCTATGACATATTAATTACAAAAGCTGCTAGTAGCACCAAAATCTGATATTTAAAAGCAAGAATTGGGTTTTGGAGATACAACAGCAATTTGTCAGGGCACATCACTGGTTACAAAGTCATTATCATAGTGTTCTCGAGGATGTAGTTTGCATGACTAAAGGAAAGTGGCACTGAGCTCTTCAGCTGAGAGAGCTTGGCGGAATGGGCTGCTGCAGGGTGGCCTGGCTGAGACCTCCTTGCCCTCTACCCCGGTGCCATCGTAGCCGTGGGGCTGCTGGAGGGCTGCACACCAAGAAGGCACTGAGGGAGCCCTCACCCGGCTCCACTCGGGTATGCTGGAGCCGTATCCCGGGATGCTCCTGGTATTCTGGAGCTGTATCCTGGGATGGTGCTTGCTGGAGCCCGAGCTCACATGAAGTGCTGTGGACTGCTTTGGACTGGAAAGCACTGCCCTCCTCACACAGGCTGGTGTGTCTTTCTCACTCCGTTTTCCCTCAGTGGCTTGGATAATTTGACAGGGAAGGCTGGAAGGAGTCCTRGTAAAAGGTGGTGATGGTGCCTCTGGTAGCAGGGCCTCAGTKCCGAGCGGGAAGAGCACAGGCTCTGCTGCTGCTGCTGCGGAGTTTCCAGCGAGGAGCCCCATGCTCTTGTACCAGTGTGATCTTAGGCTGGGAGCTGAATGGCTGTTGTCATTCCCACTGCTGCCTCTTCAGCACCAGCCAAGTGGTCCAGGCAGCCAAACAGATGACTGTCTTAGTTCAGGATTTCTGTCATTTGCATGCGTCCCTCCTCAGCCCCATCAAGCCTTCAGACCAGGGAATATGGGCTCACTCTTAGCTGCCTTAGGGTCTACATCTTACGCTTTCCTGGATGGAAATTTCAGTGCCATTCTAAAGTTCCTGAAAACGGTTATTATTTTCCATTGGGAACATTGTCTGCACAACACCCATGGACACAGTTGTTTGAGCAGCTGTTGATTTGTTCTGGCCTCTTTGCAGAGCGTCTAGCTGAAAAATCTCTTGAATTCCAGAATGTGTTGGGCGGGTAGGTGAGGAAACAACCTAATAGCCAGATCCTGAAGCACATGTGTGTGTGTGTGCCTGTGTGTACAAGAGGTCTACTAAAAACTTTGTTGCTGTTCTGGTTAAATCTATTCAAACTTAACATACCCCAGGGGTTTAGGAAAGAGGTTGCATTCAGTGGAAAGGCTTTTTAGATTTGTTTGTTTTACTTTAATTAAATGGTATTGTTTAGAAGTAATTAAGTAGGAAATTCTTCAAAAAAAGGATTCTATTGAGTCATTTTTAAAATCTAATTTTAAAAATGTATTTTTTTGTCTYTCTCACATGCTGAAATGTGTAGGTACTGGCTGCTCTGCAGAAAGATAACCGGGAGATGGAGAAAGGAAGCCCCTCGCTCAAGCGCTAGGACTGCGGCTGCCTCGGCTGCCTTGCCGGATCCGAGGGCTCGGAGGCGGCAGGAGTGCTGAGCCCGGCCCGCGCCAGCCTGCAAGTTACAGTGCTCTTTCACACTTGGGTTAGCAGCAGGACAGCCTTAAAAGGGAGCGAGGGAGGAAAAAGGAAACCCAGGCTTAGCCTTAAACTTCGACTAGAATGAGTGTTCTCAGCAGACAGCATCCTAGTCTGTACTTAGCCTATGAGTGAAACAAAACCATATTACAGTTTCTAGGTTTTCTTCTATCATGTTTTAGAATATTGGGCATTCACCAGTGTTGATTGCTTTGAAAGCTATTCCCCAGTTTAGTTCTTGGGCAGGATATGCTTCCCGTATCCATAGCAGTAGCTGGACCTGGATTTTAAATAACTGGTGCTGGAGATTGTAGTTAAATGATGCAAAGGACCATTTCTTCAGAAAAGCTTGTTGTATTTTTTGTTTCTTACAGGCTCTAGGCCCCATTAACCAAAGAAATCTCATACACACAGAACTACATTCCATTCTTTAGGAACAGGAAGTATTAGAAGATAAACGTGGAAGAGAGGTCACTAGCAGTGCAAAGCACTTTCTTTTTTTTCGCTCAGCTGCCTTGCAGATCCACCCTGGATGCCTATGAAAAATGTTCCATTCATTCAGTTAGATTCTGAATGCACAGGGAAATTTCTAGTATTAAGCTGGCAACATTTCCCAAATACTCTTGCTTTGCTCTGCATAAGACCAGATCATATAGAACTAACCACGTGCTTCTCTCTTACCTCTCTTCTGGGGCTGTGCCCTTTCAGGGTGCTTTGGCCTCCCAGCTGCTTCCTCCTTTGCCATCTCTCCTGTTGTGTTAGTCATATTTTCTGTAGGCTGAGCAGACCTGAAAAAGGTTAAAAACGTTTTTAATGGCAGCTTTTAGCCCAGCAGTGCYCTGGCAAAAGGGAGGCGGGGAGAGTGTGGCAGAGCTTGGGCATCCAGCCCTGCTCTGAAGGAAGGAGCCCTTGGGGAACAGCGAGCGTGGGGCCGAGCTCTGCAGGGACAGACAAGAGAGGTTTGTCAGGGAGGTGTCGGACACATGGCACGTGCCAGCAGCACGAGGAAAGGCTCTCATTTCCCAGCTCCTTGTTTCAGGAGAGGTGTTTTGCAACCTGTTACTTACAGCCTGTAATACGTCTGAGCACGTTACGGAGCTGGCGGACTGCAGTAGCACATTTGTTACACAGCTTAAATTCTGCCTGCGTTCAGCTGAATGTCTGAGTGTAAATCAGGAGTGCCTGTGATTTACAAGAATGTTTATTGCATAATGTAGAGCATAAAATCTATTTTATAAATAGTGACTGTCACTGAAAAGGGAATCTCACTGAAGCAATATGTGCATTTAGCTGTAAACAGGAATTACTAAATCCTTTAGCYCTAGGGTCTTAGATTTCCTATTGCTCTTCAGTCTGTTTTAATGATGCTTCAGTATTGTCTGAAATGCAAATGTACAAGAGAATTGAATAACTAAATGGAGATAATGGTTGCAAATTGCTGGACGCCAGAGACAAAACACACGGGAGATATTCAAAACCCTGTCCTTAAGCATGAGACCATTATTTCTCTGAGTAGTACCTGGACCGCAATTCCACCAGGATTGACATGTAGAAGAATCCTYCGGGTGCTGGAGGGCCCCTGGTCACCTGGAGAGCTCTGCAAYGCAAACGCAGCCTGCGAGTCGGTTACCTCATTGGCCTCTGCTCGTGTCCCCTTTGTGTACCCTGTGTAGGGGGTACTTCTTTAGCCATCCTCATTTCCCCAGCAGCCTTTTCTAGGCCTCACTGAAAAGAGACTTCAGAGTGTTGCTGTGAACGCATCCTGGTTCTCCCAGAACTTGCACGGTTCTTTGGTGACTGGTACTTGCATGTTACGTGCTCGGGAGTGCGGTAGGAAGCTGCACGGTCGGCAGGTTTTTCTCTTTGCTTTTTATTACAAAAAACATGCCTTGTCGTGAAGGGTGTCAGAGGCCTAACATCTATCTGAAACATTTGCACTATACTTTAAAATGATTTTTTAAGCATCCAGACAGCTTCTCCTCAGTGGACGTTTGCTACCTGGTACTGTAGCTGGCTTTGTAACTTAAGTCCTCACTGCAGCGAGGTGTGTGTTTCATTTAAACCGAGTCTGCAACACGCCTGGCTCGCTTGTCCCGCTAGGAAAGGTTCTTCAGGCACTCTGTGTCCTTGCAGGCGTCTCCAGCCCCTTCTCCTTTTTCTCGTCTCAACAAAATGTTGAATGTAACACTGAAAATGGGCTACGTTGTGGAAAAAGGCCTGCTGCAGCACTTAGGCACTGTTGGTACTTGCAGCTGTTCTTATTTTTGTTCTGTGATTTGATCTTTCTGTTCTTAGAAGATGTATATATTTTCTAAATGATTTCTTTGTGTATATAAGGTATGTTCTTTAATGAAGAAAAGCAATGCAATAAGGAGCTTTGCACAGTTTGTTTTCAAACAAAAATGCATTTGAAAAAACAAACACAAACCTGCCTAAAGATGCAATTGTTTCAATTTCGGTAACTTGATTTGAAGATAAGCTTGAATTTTTGATAAAAACAGATGTACAGCAATGGCATAGAATTACTTGCCACTAGGCTTTTTATGTTTCTCACACATACCAAATCTCTTAATTAGCTATTAAAGGTTTCTGTAATAAATTCAGGGATTGCATAAAAGATTTTGACAATTTTATTGTTCAGGTGCTTGAGAGTATCTGTAACATGAGATTTTCCCTCATTCACCGAGTGTCTCCATCAAGCAAACCGTTCATCTCATCATGGATTTAAAGAAAAAAATGCTGTAATAATCAGAAATCTGCAGCTGTCACTGCACATGCAGCAGATGAGAGAAATCAGAAAACTTCAACCAGGTTTGCAGTTCTGTGCAACTTGCACTTTATAATAATAAAGCTGTTTTGCAACTCCAGTCATCAGTTGATCATTAAAATATGTCACTTAGTAAAGAATTTTGTCCTGAAAGGTACTTTATAACAGCTTATTTTTGAATGTTTTAAAAACTAGAGTGACATGTAGAGAACTGTTGATACATCCCCTGTACATCATGTTTAAATTGTTTTTATGTRGTTACTGATTTGTTTAGATATGTGTATCAAACTGGAACTTTTTTCAATTGTAAATATATGGTTTTATTAAATAAAGTCATGTAAAGTTATCTTAATCACCTGTTGTCAACATAATTCAAAAGTTTAAAATGTAAGGATCTGTCTGTTTATTCACAGGCTTCWTAGTAACTTTGTCTGCCCAAAGTCCTGGGCTTTCACTGTTGTGGTGGGAGGTTTTTTTGGTGACATTTCCCAAGATCTCATGTGTCTTTCTCTGGAYTAGGTTTTAATCTTAGTGATAAGATTATGGAAAATGGAATGCAAATATAATAAGAATCAACACTAGTGTGTATTGAGATAGCTGTGACAGAATTCACAGAAT